ATCACAGAATTTGTGAGATTTGCGAGATAATTTATGCGTTCTGCGATGTATGACGAAGAACATTGCCAAACCACCTCTTTCTGACGATATTCTTAATACGATGAAGTGAATTGTAAATGTTATCATATGAGATTCCTTTCAATTGACAAAGGATGCATCTTAGGAAAGAATGGTCATGCAGATAGTTTCTTGATATCTTCCACTTTCATTGGCCAAGTTTCATCGATATATTTATTGAAAACCAGCCAAGCAGGGCGACAACGCCATGTGCTGTATTAATAACAAAAATAATAAAGTTGAAAAAAAATAATAATAAAATTTAACTATAAAAAAATAGAAAATATGACAAAAATTAATAGTTTAAAGAGGATAGGATATAAAGAAGGATATAAAGAGGGTATAAAGAATAATATGATGCAGTACAATTCGAAGTAACTATATTATATATAATCGGATGGTAAAAGTCGAGATTTCACACTTCCTGCACGATGTGAACTTTTAAATAATATCATAAATGATATTATCTAATCTTTTTTTAATGATAGCTAAGGATGACGCACAAGCTATATCGTAATTTATTCTAGTAATTAATAGTACGAATAAAAAAATCATGATTCCTTACTTTAGTTTTACACATAGGTAATTATTAGTAATTTTATCGCATTAGTTCTTGTTGGATTCAAATTTAGCCTAAAATTAAAAATTTTGAACAATCTAAGTTTAACACAATCATACAGAATCTTATAAGTATAATCTTGTTTAATATGACGAACTAAGAGAGAATCCAGGTTATATTGTAAAAGATTTCTTTTGAAATTAAAATTGCAATTAGGAGAGAGGAGTCGTACAAAATATTTTTGGAGTTCTTCAATTATTTTACTTGATTTACGATATCTCGGTGGGTAACAGATAATATTATAGTCAAGAAGTGGCCGAACAACATTCTATATATTTTGTAAGAAAAACCTTCAATTTTGTTCTTAAATGAACGAAAAATAAAATTTAGTATCTTTAAGGATTTCTTTACCATGGTTCTGCAGTGAAGGTAGAAAACGAAATTTTCATCCATGATTATTCCAAGATCGGAAATATATGAGACGACTCTACTGATTATATTGTATTGATAATAAGATAAGACTGGGAAAATCGAAACCTGTAGAATTAATATGAAGAACACTATATTTTTGAAAGGAAAGAAAGTAATTTACCTATAATATAGCCAGTTGGCCATTCCGTTGAGTTGAGATCCTCCTGCAGTGGAAATAGGTTATCTGTTCCACCATGAGAATAAATTTTAATAACAATCATCAGCATAAAGATAAATGGTAGCATTTAGTACCACATTGATGATATATAATAGAAAAAGTAATGGCGCAATACAATTATCTTGAGGAACGCTAGATTTAACAGGAGTTGTGTCAGAAAGAGTGTTATTGACGAGTACGGCTTGGTGGCGATCTTTTATGTAATCTGACACCCAGTCATAAAGGGCTCCTGTAGTGCCATAACTATTAAGAATGACCAATAATTTGTTATGGGAAATAAAAGCTTTAGCCAAATCTAGGTACACCACTGATACTGTTTTTCCAATGTCAATTGATGCTGACCAATCAGCAAGATTTTCCAATATTTGTGAAGTAGATTTTTTTGCACAAAAACCATGATGATATTTTTGTATAAAAACCAGGAGGATGTGAGGTTATTGGCATAAAGATAAGTACGCAATTTGTTGCAAATCAACCTTTCGAGTACCTTGCTGCCAACGCATGTTAGACTAATAAGCCTTAATTAATTATTAATTAGAAGGGTCATAGGTGCTTCCTTAGGATTAAGGCCGAATTTCGTTATAAATTAAAAATAGGGGAAAACTCAGAAAAACCGCACACTTTTTATAAATTATTTATGGGATATAATTAGGACCAGCTGAAATGGACAGCTTAAGTCTATTTAAGGCATCATAAACATCCAGTAGCATTATTTCAACCTCATCGAGAGAAGTGCAACAAATTCGATTTACGTTAAAACAAGAAGTATGAATATTATCGTCAACAAATATACTAGAAAAATATTGATTAAATGATATACTTGCAATATCAATCATTATGTTGTAGAATTAATTGTTTACGGATATGAAAATTTTCTTTTGATGTAGGTCCAGAAAGAATTTCTATTAATATTTAAAAATTGCTCTTCTTTATCTGAAAAGTTATGAATGATAATGATACTATCGAAACTTTTTAAACATTCTTTATATGCCGAGAGATCACTTGGCAATTTGGTTAATTTATAATTCTTTATATGCCGAGAGATCACTTGGCAATTTATTTTATTATAAAACTTCTTGACAAAGTTTTATAAAGTTTTTTTTAAGAGATTTTAAAAAAATAGGAATCGACCTAACGCTTTTTTGCTTAGAGAGATATATTGCTCTATAAGCTATAAAATGATGCTGTTAAGAAAATTAACTTTTTCATCAATAGAGGGAATTAAACAAAATAAATCCCAGTTTATTTCTGCAAGGATAGAATTAAAAATTTCATAATCACAGTAACGGTAATTTCTGGAATATCTCGAAGGAAGTACATAACAGTTTAATTTTAATGAAGAAGCATGAATGATACTATGGTCACTATTACAAAAAAGTTTCAAGACTTTCATGCTATCAACAAGAGCAATAGCTAAGATCTAAAATATGTTACATCTAGTGGCAATTTTAACATGTTGCCCTAGACCTATATAGATATAAAAGTTTAGAAAGTCCTCCTCAAATTTGCTGCTATTTTTCAAACTATTTTCCCGATCTATGTTTGGCATATCAAGAACACCAACAATTACATAATCGAACACCAAATAATTTTAATCTAAATAACAGGTTGTATCCCTAGTGAATTGCTTCCATAGCCGGGTGGTATAGATGATAATAGAATTATGTCGCATCACCACATCTAGATAAATGCGAATTTTTGTTTCGAGGCTGATTCCGCGGCAATTCCACAAAAAAGTGCTATCCCGAGCTGGAATTTCGTCTTACGGACCGAAAACTATTTCAAGGTAAAAATTTGGTCACCTCAGCTTGGCCTAAATCTAACTTGATTAGAGTACGTCCTTTTTTCACACGTTACCATAGTCTTTCCGTCATAAAACCTTTCCAGAAACATCTAGCAAACTGATTCCTCGATGCTTTTCATATTCTCTTAGCAGTCCTATTAATTTTTTGACGAAGTGGGCATATAATAGTCTCGTACCATTCGCATGGTGTTTGCTTCTCGTACAACACAGAATACAATTTATTAAAAAATGTATCCCTATATATCAGATAATGCCTCATTTCTTTAATAAAGAATAAACGAGTGTCTAGAATCATAGAAACTGCTGAATTTCATGGAAAGACAATTTTGTTTATATAAATGGTTTACGACGTCGTTTAATGTGTTGATAATAATTGCATCTTATAGTAGATGGAATATTTAATATTATATCATTTTAAAACATCCTAGCAGTGGAGGATAAAAACCTCATTGAGGGACGATAACCATAACAGCGGTTCGGTACTTTCGCTCTTTTCAGGTTTACTTTATTTTATCAATGTTAAAGTTACAAATGAAAAATGAGTTTAACAACTAAAATCTGATTTATAAAATCTGAAATCTGAATAAAATAATGAGTTTTACTTTATTCAAAAAATTTGTACAATATTTCAAATGTTTTGAGAATTAAATCAATTATAATTAAAGTGTTTTTAACTTTCATATCTTTTTTAATAAGTGAATTATTACATTAAAAATGGAGAATGGACATCCTCTGAAAACAGTGAAGAAGTGGTTAACAAATATTTGTCTGAAAAAAACCTTTGGAAGGAGAAAAAACTGATTCTGTTCGATATTTAAAATGTCACTGATTCTTGTGAATATGCAATAAAGGATTTTATAGTCACTGGAAACGTATCAGCCACTGTAATAATAATATTATAATAATTTTAATAATTTTGTTTTTATAACTCCGCTAAAAAATAGCTGATAGATGTGTTCACCGAAGTTGCTTTAATTCTATGTTCCGGCTAATTTTATTTCAGAAAACCACAATCCTTACCAAAATGAAACCTTTTTGGTTTGTTTTTCACAATACATTTTTAAAAATTCACTTTAATCTCACATTTCAAGTATATTTAAAGAAATTAAACATCACATTTTTTCATTTCCGAGATTTGAAGTGCCGTGGAATTTGAAAAATGCTCAATTGTCAATATCAATTATAATTTTCGCCAATAAAACTCCTTTTCATTATACGTCCTTCCGTGATAAAACTTTATTGAAAAAAGAGTTTTAGATTTTTCGAGATGAAAAAAAATTAAAACTCAAATATATTTTAGAAATGCGAAGCGATGTTGAATTATTTCAACAACGAAAAACTAGAATGACACCATGAATATTCGAAATCGATTCGATTATTTTTGAGAACACAAATAAAAATGTAAATAGGGAAAATTGACGGATTTAGTAATTCTGATAATAAAAAGAAAAACGAAATCTGGAAGGGAAAAAAAATCTAATATTTTCGAAATTTGCCATCGAAGCTATTGAACGAAGTTTAGCTGAATTTTAACTATAAAATTACTTAATAAACATTGCAAAATAAAATAATTCATTTATTAAAAAAAGAACCAATAAACCTGTTAAATTTCCATTTTGGAAAATTTCTTATTTATTCATATTTATTTATTCATATTTATTTATTCATATCAATTTATTTATTCATATCAATTTAAATCTAAATTAAATAAAATTAGTAAAAAGGATTTTACAGTTCAAATAAGCATGTTCTCATTCTTAAAATTGAATTTAAATCTGGTAAATAATTTCAATGAATTCCAATGAGAAGATACACTAAAAAGTTCCCAAACGAGAGAAAAGCTTCCCAAATGTTCCAATAAAAATATAGTATACAAATGAAAAACTGGGAAATAAAAGCTGAATACACATATTAGCATATTAATTTCTACATTACCAATATAACTTTCCACAGAAATATTTGTAAAGAGACATTAAAGAACCGATTAGAGGCAATAATATTGGCAAAAATAATGGCAGATATACCGCGAACTTTTGGTCGCTTGGAAAATACAATAAAGCGAGCAAACTTTGATCATTAATTGCCCGCTCAGCTAGTTCACGACCTTTGATGACCTTGGCCAGATCGAGTTTACCACTTTCTTTCGCTTGTTTTAACGCATCCATTATGAGATCAACAGCTTGATTTACGGTATCGGCGATCTAATAGCAAATTAAATTATTAAATTAAATTAAATTATTAAATTTCAATTATTAAATTATTTCAATCATTAAATTTAAACTCTATAAGAGAATGAAAATATTTCATTGGCCAACCTTGGCCAATACATCATTACTCTCTTCCAAAATTTCTTTATTCTTTAATAATGAAAAAAAATGAGTGAAAAGCAAACCTCATCGCTTATAACTATATTATCAATTTCAGCAACAAGCATGTGCATTGCTCGAACGGAAGAAATTCCATTCATTGCACAATCGACAAAAGCTCTAAGTTTCAATCTTTCCAATTCCCAGTCAGCTAGCGGCGATGGGCACCGGTTAAATTGATAAGGTAAATCCGAATCAAGACCAAATAAAACACGAAGAGATGCGATCATTGCATGACTTATACTTGTATTTATTAAATCATTAGATGCAACAACGGCACCCCATGAAGCAATTGCCATACTTTTCGCTATATTACCCTTAAGAATGCTTCATTATATCTTGGAGAAAACCCTAATGATCGGAAAGCTTCTAAGGTTAGAATTTTTATTTAATATTTAAAAAAACAATTACAATAGAAAATTTTAAAGTTATAGCAAAATTCTCATTTTGATTATAAGACTAGTCTAATACCTGAAATATTTAAAATATGAATTGAACCATCAAAGTTAAAAATAAAATAAAAATAAAAGGAAATTGAACCGATTGATCAAGTAGATAAACCGAATCTGAATGATCGAAAAGAATAAGCTTAAGTAAAGGCGCCGCGGATTCAACAGTGCTTGTTTCTCGATCAATCTTAATAAAGCTCAAAAAGTGAATATCAATTTTTTCAGAAGAATGAACTTTAATGACAGTTAAATAAAACAAAAATTCAGCTAAATGTAACAATGTCTATTAAAACTTCTTAAGAAAATCTTAAGAAATTTTTTCATTTTGTTGAAAAAAATTTTCACATAAAAATTAGCATATGGCACCATCTAGAAGAAACCATAATTAAAAAATATATTCAGATATATATGATTACTTGAGTAGTAATAGTTGATAGGTGATTAACACTCAATAACCATCGATCGGAAGCATCCTTCGTAATCCAAGAACTAATATCAAAGTCCCATAAATGTTCAGAACTAACTCTAAGTTTTGTAACATTCGCGATTGTCAATGCAAAGCGATTGATATTTAGAATAATATTATTAGGTTCAAAATATTTTGATGCTTCGGATGTCGAATGAATGAAAATAATCTGAATAATATACTCAGCATTCAGTGCCGTTGAGTCCCAAACAAATCGTTTCTAAAAATCTTCGCCAGATAATACGCAATATTATTGCAAATAAAAAATAGTGAAATATTCTCACTATTAACAAAAAAGAAGATTAATAAAAAAACAATGAATAAACAACGAATTTAAGTTACTTAAATTATTAAAAAGTTGATTTATTAAAAAACTTAGAAATATGCAAAAAAACCTGTTCACTAGGTGGAAGCATTGCAATTTCCCTTGGATCCATACGATGGCGTAAGTCCCTATTTACAATGGCTTTCAAATGACCTCTATCCAACAGTATATTAACAAATGATATAAATAGTCTTTGGAATAGCTTTTCATCATTAGCATCATAAAGAATATATGTCAAATATTCAGCGCTGAAATGGATAACATTTTCTAAAAATCTCCATTCTGATGAATCGAGTATTAACATTTGTACATGAAAGCGATCGTCGTTCAAAGTACCATTTATGTCTGAAGGCGAATCCTTAAAATACAAATTTTCATTATACTTCACAGAACTATTCTAGAAAAATATTCTCTCAAAACGAAAAGTAAAATAATTTTTGGTTTTTCGGTTTCAGTTTCGGTTTTACTGGAATTGTTTTATAAACGTAGTAGATAACTTTGAGAGAATTTGGGTTCAAAGAGTTATAAAGTTTTTATAAAGTTATAAGTTATAAGCTAGAGGAGTTATAAAGTCAAAATGCTAATGATTTACAAAATATTAGTAAAAAATATATTTCACACCAAGTAATTATCCTATCTAGCAATAAAATTTCAATAAAAAATTTTTACCAATCTTAATAAACGCAAATTAACTGGTAATCTAAGACGTTCAATCTGTGGCAAATCATTGAAAGCATCGATAAGATTTAATGATATTCTCTCGATCTGAGAATCGATTGACCGATTGCAATTAGCTATGGTAAGTTGCACCTGGATATTTCAAAAATATTTTATAATTCAGCATGGAAAATTAAAAATTTTAACAAAAATATTGGAATCCCCGAGATATTTTTGCAGATCTATTCCTATTTTTCAAAATTTACCATGTGCTCTTTCTTAAAAGATTAAAAGAAATGTTTGATGGATAAAATACAGGGAGAATAATATCGAGTTCGGTCGGAAAATTCTTAAATTTAGCTCGGTAAGTCGATGTTGTTTGCCACCATAAAGGTATACCAAATATGATAATGATCAACACAAAAGAAAAAGCCGACAGCTGCCGATATGGCACTTCTTTCCACTCAGCTGATGTTAATACGAAAGCCTAAAACAACCAATGACAGAAACCATACCTAATAAACAGCAGTGATAGAACATGCGAATAGCTTAATACTGAAATTAAAAACTGACTAAATACATCGCAAAAAATATCTCTCAGTTGAAATTCACGAATAAAATAATGCATTGATATATAATACAATAAAATAATGTCATAATTGATAAATAATGTTCTTTTACAAAAGCTAGCAAAATTTGAATTCTTCCTTCGATTGGACCATTTGCCCACATCTGGCCAATACTCAATCAATCAAATAAGGATGAAGGTATATCTATTATCACTCATTATCAATCGCTTAAGCCCACGTTTCGCGAATTCCAGATTTATGTTTTTGATGCGTGAATGTACAATACATTTTACTCAAATGGAGTAGTCATAATATAAATGAAACAACTATGCAATTGCCTCTTAAAAATTAATACCGAAATTCTATAGAATGAAATCATGCAGACGATTTTTTCGCAATACTGCTGGTAAAAAAGCCTTAAGCATATCAAAACATTTTACTTTCTTGAGCCGCTCATCCAATGATAGTACTGGCGCAGAGATTGCTTTACGATCTGATTTTTTATCACAGTCATTATACTTCATTATGAAGAATTGCCCTCCTTTTGAATAGGCTTTTTTAGCCACAATAATAAATGTGATAACGAATGGAAGCACTGTAAAAAAAAAATAAGTTAACTTTTATTATGTAATAAACTTTATTACATAAACCCCATTTGTATTCAAGCGCTCCACCATCGAGCTAAAGAATTTCCTTGACATTATAAAACGCCATAATGAAGATAAAATTGCTAAATGATGAATTGAATCTAACCTCCACTGGTGGAAGACCGACAAAGATCGACAAAAGCGCAACAATTTGAAGAAATCCAGCAACAATTAAAGCGAAGGACACCAACCCAATATTAAACAAAACCATAAAAAGCAATCCTAAAATTAGTGAGAAAGAAAAAAACAGAAATGAATTTTTAACATCCTTAAACCGACCGAAATAAATACAGAGAAATTGATTTAACTTGGTTGAACTCCCTGTGGTACATGCCATTCGAAGATTTCAAAAGACAATAGTCCAAAATATAAACCAAAAATTTAGTTCAATAAAGTTTCGACGTCACGTTTAAAATTTTAAATATTATAATATGATAAACTCATTTTACAAAGAAAAATATCATAACAGCATTAAAATGAAAAGGAACAAACACTCGTTTAAAATTACATATTTTATTCCACAGTATTAATTATAAAAGTTATAGAGAAAATGAAGAATATTTTTCTAACAGTCACTATAATTATTGAAGCGAGAGTATCATCTGTTTGAGAAAAGTAATTTATATATTTTATGCCAAATATACAAGTCAAAAGATTTGAATAATAGTGTTTTTACTAATGTAATATAAGATGAATTAGCAATTATTCATTTCTAATACATTAAAACTACTTTCATGAAATTTACGAAATGAAAACTCGAATTTCAAAAATCCCAACATTCAAAAAAACTGAAGTTTCAATCAAAAATTTATTTATCATTAAACTGCAATAAAAATTATTCGTGATACTTTTGTGCATATAACCGCATCAAATACCACTGTCGTTTCATTCTTAATATTTCATCAATAATTAAGGCAATATGAACCAAAAACATTCCCTGAAATAAATGAAATAATGAAATAAGCTAAGAAATAATAAAACAATTTAAATGAACACCAACTATTTTTGATAAATGTACAATGAAATGTACAATGGAAATCAAGCATTTAAAATAGTTTTAGATATTAAAACCCCTATCATGCAGCATAATTGAATTTTATCGAAAATTTCTAGTTGCTAAATGAAATTTTATATTATTCAGTTTAAAAGCATTGAAAAATCATATAACCGATAAAATACTTCTATTAATATTAGAAAAATATTAACAACCGAACATTAGAAAAATAAAAAAATAAGCAACTTACAAAAAAAAATTTTTCAGATGACGAAATTAATATGAATACTAATAGGAAATTAGAGCGAATACAAAAAAAGTAAAACAAGCAAACCTGAACAATAAAAAGAAAGATTAAGATGCGTATAAAATGAGGTAATAAACGGTCGATGAAAGTTTTAATCACCTTCAAGCATCCAGTATCGAATATTTTATCACTTAAATTCGATTCGACTTTTATACCCTGAAAAGATTCTTTGAAAATTTCGTTATAAAGCCCAAAATAAAAAATATTTCATATTTCTATTAAATTATTAAAGGTATTAAAAATACAAATAAATAAAATAAATATATAAATATATTTTTATGAACCTTTTCTCTTCTCCGCAGATTAAAACCGCAGAAATAATTCTTTAAAAATATCGTAGTATTTCTCATTTCTTTACAACATGAATGCGGCACTCCAAATGCTTGAGGAGATTTGAATATTGCTAATTCTTTTTTTCCACTAAAATAAGGGTTTTGGTCCCAATCATCGTATGAATATATTCCACAGCATTGAAATGTCGTTTGTATCCAATCAATATTTGATTGCATCACATCATCATTATAATAATTTAATATCTACAAAGAAAAAAGGAGCTCAAAATTAAGGATTTCATGGAACAATAAATAATTTATTGATAAGCTTTTTTATTAAACAAAGTTTTCAGTTTGATCCTGAGAATATTATTAAATAAATGAAGAATAAAACAATTTACTGAATCACTTAGCCTGGTTGAAAACAGCGTTTCCATCGAATTTCTGGTAATTAATAAAAATAAAACCAGAAAAATTTGAAGCAAAAATGCTAGGCTGCACGCCGAAAAAGCTTCGAAAAGACAAATATGCGAATTTCGAGAAACACCTATAAAACCAAGAGAGCCGCTGAAGACCAACAGCATTCCTGAAATGTATAAACTAATTTAAAAAATAAATCAATATTTCTAATTTGCACTTACCTGAAATTTATGATTAAACTCTGATAACAAAAAAATACGAATTAAATTTAGTACAAATAATTAATTAAAATCTTTAAAAATGGAGTGGTAAAAATTTGCCAAGAAAAATCGCTTAGTTGAAGGAAGGTGAATTCGGTCATCTCACACCAAAAATCTTTTCATTTAAAATGTACTAAAGAATTAAAAAGGGCTATTATTACATTTAAAATTCCACTGAATTCATTAAAAGTACCGATAAAAGCAATGGCAAGCAATGGTGGCGGACCAGTATACCATGAAAATGTTTCCGATACTCTTGATTTGAAAGATAATCCCGCAGCACCTGAGACTAAGATCGTTCCAAAAATAAGAAAAAACACGGAGATCACACTTGAGACGAACCTGACAATGGAAAAAACCGTACTATATTTTCGTTCCTCTAAAACTAGTGAATTAATAAAATAAGGAAGAATGCCAGTATTCATAATAACTTTATTCTTTTAAAGAAACTGGAATATAACCGCGCAATTTCTTACTTCATGAAAACAAATAAAATGAAAAAATAAAATTTTGCATAAAGAAATTTCTTTAAAATTTTATTGCATTTTAATCAGATCAAAGCCATTCACAAAATCTTTAAAAACTATGAAGCAAACTCATCCAACTTATTTCAACTCCGCATCTATCCAGGAAAAAATAAAAAGAAATTTCGATGAAGCAGAACCTTCCGATGTGGCGAATGGATAGCGATATCTCTATTTATTGAGCTAAAGACTAGAAAAACGATCCACGGTCCCATTTCAAAAAAACCTCATGCAACCACTATTATTAATTTCTTAAGGCATCATAAATGCGCCGAATCATCAAAAAATCTATGCCATTAGAAAACTTTATACATATATACTTTTTCCAAAGGCATTCATCATTTCTGGTTTGATTCTCGGCTTCCTCGTTGGACCAAATAAATTTCACCAGAGAGAGAGAGACAGAAGTGTTTCACCACAAACACCCAGATTTTTGACAGGTCCCCCCCTACATGCAGCATGGAGTATCAGCTAGGCTTCAAGAGCCCCCGATACGTGCAAAAAACTTTTCAAAAATACTAAATAAAAAAGAAAGAAAAACTTTTTCAGAAAAACTGCGGTTGAAATTGAAACCATTCTTGACCATAATTCAATACTGAAATGCATTTATTCTTTCTATGAAATGGCTTAAAGATTTTTTGAAGTACGCATTTAAATTTATAAAAAAATTTGAAATTTAAAAGAATTACAAACTTTTCGTAGTTTTTCATTATAAATGGCCGAAAAATGATCGTCAAAATGTAACTAAACAGATACGGCATACTGCTTTATAATGCAAAAAATTAATCTCTCAAACAGATAAAAGATAAAATTAAATAACACATTTTATTAAAAAATCAAATTATTTTATTAAAAAATCAAAAGAAACAAAACTTATACGAAAATTAATGAAAGATTTAGAATCAACAACAAGAAACAACATTTACAAAAATCAAATGCCCGCAAAATTTCAAAGCGCAAAAACTTGGCTGATAATTCCAGGCAGCATCTTAAAACTTTGGCAAAGAACAAAAATAAGATGAGCAAAAATGCAATTAACAAGTAAAAAGAATTAAACGTAAAAGATGACGAATAATTTTCCGGTCTAAAAAAAAAAACAATTTGGAAAAATAAAAAATAAAAAAAGATCACATGAGAAAAAAGCGAAAGAAATCGACAAGCAAAGTCATTTTAGAATATCTTAAAGCATTTAAATATATAAAGCTTAATTAAGATGAATAGAATTCTAATTTGATTCTAATTCTCCGAGAAAATTTCAGTTATTTCCTTCTTTTAATAGCATATGAGATATAACTAGAATATCACCAGTGACCAAAGAATATAAAAAACTGCCGAAAGATCATAACTTTAAAACTGGATAAACCCTTCTGGAAATTCGAAAATCAAGTTTGAAATTTAACAAAAAACAAATCTAATAACAGCATTAACAATAAAATATTAACGGCTCAGTGTTCGAGCCGGAAATATACATCACACAGATATCTTTATAAACATATATATCGAAATCCACTCTAAAGCAGAAAAAAAGAGCTTGTTTCACGAAAAAATGGAATAAAATGCAAGAATATACAATAAATGACCATAATTAAACAATAGTAGAATTTGCAAACTTTTCCACTTTTGAAAATCCGAAGACGTTTTACCTGTGATAAAACCACCTTGCACGTTGAGCAAATATATCACTTCGCAGATTTTGTGCAAACAAAATACCAAGAATCTATAAACATTTTGCTAAAATTATGTAGCGAAAATAGCATTTACGAAAATATGAAAAGGAATCACGAGTTAAACCACTTAAATGAAAATGAAATGAACCTATGCAATCGCCATATTTAGAGTTAAAAAGGAATAAAAGTAGATTCAACCTGCACCACAGCTACCACAACAACAGCGACGGCAACATAAGTCATATTTTGTATCAAATAGTTTTCGATTTTTGGCGTGCAACCTTCATTGTGTATTGAATCACTTACACCCTGTAAAAGGCAGTCTCAAAAATAACAGAATTTTTAGGCGTAATTACAAAAAGAAATGAATTTTGCACGCAAATTCAAAGTATTTAATACAGAATAGAACCTCTTTTATTAAGCGGGCACCATGACCACAGAAATAATTTATTGGGCCATTATCGAGACTCAATTTTTTGCAGCAAGAATATGGAACGCCGCCCGCTTCAGGAGATAAAAATTCCTGCGATGATTTATTAAAATAGATATTCATATCCCAATCATTTGGTGATCTCATGCCACAACATTTAAAATAGATTTGTACCCAGTCTATAAGAGCTTGTAAATCGGGGTCATCTCGATACATTACAACCTGCAAAATCATTTTAAAAGTTTCAGGCAACACACAGCCTTAGCAATAAATATAAATGGCAAATTACCGTATCATCGAGTCGCAAAAACAATTCCTGGGTAAACCAATCTTTTGAAGCAAAAATGAGAACGACTAAAGCCATTTCTGCAAGTAGTAACAGGCCTATTATCGCAGAATAAAAAGCTAAAAAACAAGTATTCTCTCGTAAGGCACCAACACATCCACTAAAACCAATAAGGAATATTAGACTTCCTGAAAATAAACCTCACTTTCCCCATTATTATTTATTTAATGGCAATTTCAAAGAAAAATAAGAAATAATAAAAAAATTAAAAAAAAAGCAATTTTCACCCATAGCATATATTACAACGTACCAGCGAAAATAAGAAACATGGCGGGATCTAGATAAAATTTCGATACTTTATTTAAATGTGAATAGGCCGTATTTTTCTCATGATGCGCCCACATCCCAATAGCTAAAAGAGTGAATCCAACAATCCAAAAAATAACATTGAATCCAAATATTGTATACTTCACACAACAACTTATTTCTGAAGAATTATTTTCATATCGCACCACTATCTGAAATAAGTAAAAGTTTATAGGCAAAATTATAAATACGGAATGAAAAAAATGGAAAAAGATGGTAAAAAGATATTAGACGACATTTATTTCAAATACATTATTTTAAATTTATAAAATCCTCGATCCCCAAATGAGATTTCCGTCATTTTAATTAGTTTTTATTTCAAATCATATTCTTTTATTATAGGCCAATTCCTTAATTGATTTCCGAAAAGGAATTCAATTAATTAGCTTGGTTAGGGCGCCATGCCTACCAAACGATTTGGAGCGGCGAGCATATGAATTTATTATTTTACTTATTATTCTATTTTTATGTTTTTCCTTTCTTTTTTTTATTTTTCCTAAATTTTATTTGAATATATTCCTAAACCTTAAAGTCTTTTATCTGATTTTTCTTATATTGCCCAAACTTTTTGATTAATTATTTATTTTTGACACGAGTAAACCTGTCATGGCATTAAAAATGCGGGCGCTGCTGAAAACGCCCCTATAACTCTATCCTCAAGTGACCGTAGGACCACACATGTCTCAGGTATATTTTACGGGTTTGCCGAGTATAAAATCTTACATGATTGCACCTAGTTTCCGGCAAATACCACTCGCATTAACAATGCCATCACAATATCGCCTTCGCTGGTTAGGCCACATTCTTCGTGGCTCACTTACAAGAGTTTACACATATTTCGTTACTTGCTAAACCCGATGAAGGGTGGCGTCAAAAGCGGAGTGGCCAATCAATACCTGGACAAACAGCCAGGAAGGATTTTGAAATTTTGAACGTACAGGTGGACCGGCAATATATAGACGATGGAAAAAGGAATTGATGATATCAGATCGCGCAGTTTGGAAACGTCTTACCCTTATAGCCAATGAAGCCAACCTAACCAGTAATGGTGAGAGCTGTTAGAAGTGAAAGGGTTAGGATCTCTTTGACATGGCGCCCGCATCCTCATATCCTTCATACTTCTAAGCCGGTGGCACATGCGATAAATATGCGAGTCGAAAAATAACATTGAATCCAAATAGGATTGAGAAGAGAATGAGCTCGCAAATCAGGGTATTTACTCAAAACCTATTGAAAGGAACGAGAGAGCACTTAGGCAGCGAGATGTTGGCCATAGCTGCCAGAACTTATTGAAGTTGCAAGCCAAGAAATCACCGCCCATACCCTTTTTAAAAATCCTTTTTAAAAACGGCGTGGATGTGGCTTATTTGTCAGAAGTCTGTCTTCTTCACGTCGGATCTAGAATAATTATTAAACCTGGCTCCGAGCATATTGGTTATATCATTGGGATGTTTTGGATAACTCAGAGCGAAATGGCACAGCGATTGTCATGACTGAAAAGGTTTATTCCGCTTTGACTAGGTAAAAACCCGTAAGCGATCGTATGGCTTATACACGCTTTAAAGGTAATTTCTGCAAAATTTTGGTCTAAGGATAAATTTTACGAGAAATTCAACTAATGACAACATCTCTGCCGAGAGATAATATGTTTATAATCGTAGGAGATTGAAATGGAGCTAATCACGATGCCGCCGTGATATAACTGGCAAATATGGCATCGGAGTCCAATGCGCCAATAGAGAACGTTTTTGCTTTACCGAACAACATGAATGTTTTGTTACCAATATATGCTTCCGGGATCTCAAAAGACATCTAGTCATGTAGAATTCTCTGGACCAACACTCCAATCAGACTGTTTATTTTAATCAGCCGTCTAGGAAAAGTTCAATATTAGGTAGTTGTTCCTATCAAGGCGCTGAAATTGGTAACTTTCAAACCATGTTATGGTCCAAGTTTCGCATAAAACTGACAACTCGCAAGAAACAATGCATCCCAAGATCCTTCAACTACCTCAGACTAAAAGATTCAGGAACAATATGCGTATTCCTAACCGAATTATTAAAGGAATGTAGAGAAATGAATATCAGTGATATCTCTGAACGGGAGGGGAATATTGCTCCCAATTAAAAATGTCTCCGGAAGTCAGCCACTTCCATCTTAGGACATGCTAGTAGGAAAGCTTGGGTATCGAAAGCAACTACCCAGTTGCCTGAAAAGGCTGCCAAAGAATGTTAGGAGTTCCTTACTATCTGATGCTTCAAAGAATTACAACGACAACAAAATGGCGAAATCAAAACCGCTACTGGAGCGATATGGCCTTGGAAATGGAGATGACAACTCTATTATGATATGAAACTATTTCACATCCTTTATAAAACAACTATAACTCGGGGAAAGGATAATGAATAAATGATCGGGACAGTAATGGTGTGGCTATTAAGGCTATTAAGCATCGCCTTATAAGGTGGAAGGAATTTTTTTGAGATCAAGCTTAACCACGACACGTCATCTGTTGTCTCGGACATAGCTGAATCGCTCGTCGAACCATATGTTTGCAACTGCAAACAGCCAGGAGAACAGGAAATAATCTCAGAACGATCTCCGTCTGAAATAATTTGCCATTCAGAAAGTTAAGGCCAATAAAACCACCGGAGATGGATTTAGGATCGAACTCTTCAAATGTTATCCATCGTTCTTCATATCACACCTTCAAAAATGCATTCTGTGGCAAAAAGAAACAATACACAATGTTTGCAGCAAAGCCATTCTGCTCCCATTGCCCAAGAAAAGTCATAAGATGAACTGTGATAATTCTAGAGGAATTGGCCCACCATCTCCAGAAAAATTTTCGCTTTTCTCCCATTAACTACATTTGTGACAATTCGAAACTGCAAGATCCATTCTAACTAAGCCGGATTCAGACCCCCATGAGGTTATACTGACCAAATATTCACGCTAAGGAGAATGCTGGAACACTAAGATCATTTCAAATATCAACAACCTACCGTGAATGTTTTATCGATTTTGAAAAAATATTTTCGTCTTATATGCAGAAGCTGATAAAATATTTATTTTTATCAATTCATGTCTAACATATTTCTTAAGGGTACATAGAGCGGACAAAACGCGCATGATTGCATCCATCTTCGCTCAAACAGAACCTGTATTAATAATATTATCATAATCGTCGCCTTCGCTGCACATTCTTCGTCATCCACCACAGAAGTTAATGCACTTCGCTACTAGCTAAACCCTCTGATGAATGGTGAAAGCGAGGAGGATCAATCAAAACCTGGACTGATAAAGTGTCAGGAAGAATTATGAACGTATAGAGGGACCAGCGATATATGGACTAAGACGGTGGAAAAAGAAATGGCTTCTATTATTGCCAGGGAAGCATCGGATCAAATTTGGAGACACCCTACCTTTGTAGCCAGCGCAGCCAGCCTAACCGATAAGATGCGAGCTGTTGGAAGAAGAATAAAATTCCTTCCCTTTGCTATTTTTCTTCTGTAGACTTTTATTATCTTACAATATTATGTTCTTAGTTCCATTTCACTTTTGTTGATTTCTATCGTAAGGTTTAATTAACCTCAAGTCTGAGATTGTGGAAGCGAATAAAGACTCCAACGTGCGCGAACCAATCTATTTCCGCACCCCGCAGGCGGTCTAATAACCGAAAATACTGCCGCCTGGCAGGCAGCCTCATTTATTGTTTTTCGCAACAACATTTACAGGATTAAATATATTTTCATATCGAATATTTTGAATTTTTCTCTTTAATCAAATGAAAAAATTGAAAAAATAAAATTGAAGCAGTGAGAATTTTTAAGGGCCAAAATAGTTCGGCGTGATTCGAAAGTAATTATATCACTTTTTGAATGAATCAATAAGAGACATTAAAGAAGTGGAAAATAACGAAGAGACGCAGCGCGGATAGAGAAATTTCCGCACAAATTAAGCCAATAAGCAAAAAGTTGAGTGAGAAAGAAACGTACACGTTGACGGTGGTGCTGGCGGTGGTGACGTCGGGAGCGACTGCACTGCTGCGACGAAGAACTGCACGCGCGACTTCCCGCTTGTCTAAGAACGGCAGCCATGTCCCTGAATTTTTGAACAAGGAAGATTTCTAATTTAAATTACTGTCGAAATAACGAAGGAGTCAAAATCGCTTTCGTGGCGAAGAAATCGAATTCCTCCCGCAAAAACATTTAAACACAACCAGCACACACATTAAATGTGGAAAAACCTCAGCTGCAATAAATAAACACCTCGAACTTGCAGCTTAACGAGATGACCAACTATGGCTGAGAATTAGTGGTGAAACTTTTGGTATAATTCGGATAGGGTTCAACAACAGCAAAATTCATACAATCATCTTATTGCTGCAGTAGCGTTCACAAGTCTTCCAATTCGAGGCCGATGCAGAACAAACACAAGCCATTATTCGCTGGCTCGCCTGCGCAATATCTCTTAGTCCAAATTTTGATCAGTGCTTCATTTTTAAGGCATCCATCACGAGGGGTTAGCGAGTACCGAGATATGCGTCAGTTCCTGTGATGGCGACGAGTATGGCCTACCCCGCGCAGACAAGAAACACTTCGATATGGTGCAAACGGCTTCGAGCGAAGGTGAATGCGTTACGAAACGCTTTCTGCTTAAGGGCATATGCCTGAGGCAAGAATGGTCGAAGTTAGGTAAGTTCTTCGAGTGGGCACGTTTCATAGCTTTATAATAGGATTATAGGTAATATGTGAAGAACCAGACAGACTCGCTTTGAGCATAATTTCCCCATAGCTATAAAGAGAATTTACTACGCAAAAGAAAACACCTTTAGCTGCGGCTTCTGAACTGGGACTTCACTTTTCCTTTTACCATTAGGCACCGGTTTTGTGCTATCTTTTTACGAGTGTCGAGAGTATATAGCATCTCCTGAAGTATATCCTGAGAGCATATAGCACCTCGTGTGCTCTCTTTCGAGTAGGTAAGGTACGTCAGGGATTTAGCTGACTTCTGGAAGCAAACTTCGAGAGACGTATTTGTCTTTCCAGAAGTGTGACTAGGAGTACTTTAGCTTGAGTACTTTTGCTTGCCCTTGTACATGCCAATTGCCCTTTAATTTTTTAATATTGTGAAAGACGCAATGTTGCGTATTTTAATTTGTATCTTGGCTGTAATTATACACGATCGTAAAAGTTTTTTTGCTTCCACAAAACAAGCAGCCAGTTAGTTCCAATTAGTTCTCTTTCAACCACAATTGTTGAAAATATAGTCATTGCGGTTGGTTGCCTGAAGTGTTCCATGTGTCCACTTTTTCCAGTGCTGAAGGTATGTACTGGTAGCAGAAAGTCTATCTATGCTTCTCAGCAAAGCGGAAAAGACGTCCTGCATTAGTACACCTGGATCTTAAGTTATACTTGCCGGTGGGACAGGTCTTCCGCAATTTTGAATGGCTATTACCTCAAATTCTCCATTTCTATCCTTGTCCAGATTACCCGACCGCATGAATGCTAATGATCGACACATTGGAAACTCTCAAGATTAGCAATTATAAAAGTTTATATATAATTGTTATATAATTGTTATTTGTATTAAATAACAATAATCATAATTATTGAAATTTTCAACGGGGAAATTCAATTTAAGTAAATAATTTACTAAATAAATTTTTTTGCTATTGATTTATTCACCTAAGAAGCTCGGTTTATCAAAAAAAAGGAAAATGGACTGGATTTGGATCAAGTAATTAATCGATAAATCGAAATCAAAATGATGACAGAACCGCTTAGGATCAAGATATGTGTCCGGAACAATCAATTTATTCTGAATGAAATTTTAAAATTTCTGTATTATCTGCGTAAGGCCAACCATTTTAAGGAATAAGTTTTATTAATTTTATTAAATTTGTAATTATAATTTGTAATCAAAATTATAATTGTAAATTATAATTTGGCACAAAATTTCAAAAAATGAAAAAATTTTCAAATATATGCGAAAAAATAATTAGATTAAAAAAGTTTAATCAGTAAGTTGGTTGAAGTTGATTCGACTAAAACGAAATTAAACGTAATAATCAAGTAATAATTAAAATATTTAGGCTGAATTCACATCATTAGATGCCAAACCCAAAGCGGAAGAAATATGTGAGCCAATAGCAGTTTTTAAACATGATCGTACTTTTTCAGATGCTTCACAGGCACTTTTCATAACAACTTCAAGGTGCTGATGATGAACGCGATTTTCTAATTCGATTAAGACAATCTGATCTTGATTCATTAGGGTTGCTACAGTTAATCGAGGAACGATGGCCATTTCTTCTCGAGCTGAGACATCGACACATGCAACACCACCTAATGAACATGCAGACGAAACAGCTGCCACTATTCCATAGACTGGCACTCCAGCATCTGCTAAAGCTAAAGTGGCAGCATTGACGCATGTAGCTAAGTGACTACCATCGCCCTCAAATTTAAATGTTTTTCACAAATAAAAAGATATAACAATGAAATTTATATGTATAAAATATAAATTATACCTGTGTACGAATTTTTAAATCTATGCTTAAATAAATAAACGGAAAACTTTCATTTCACAAATAAGGACGTGCAAATCACAATAAAGAAAATTGTAAACTATAAACTATCTTTAAAATATATTATAATGAAAAAATTTTTATAGATTTAAAAAAAATATATCACACATCTATGAAAATAATTCCAAACCCAAAGTGACGTTAAAAAAACTTAAAAAAAAAAGAAAACTAGTAGGAATTTACCTGAAGAAGTTCACAGAATATATCGATTTGAGAGCATGGATACATTGTAGTAATAATAGCCGATTCAAAAACTTTTTCCATAAGTCTGGCGAATTCCACAGCTCGACGATCACCACGCGGTCGTTCCTTTAAATGTTTAAATTTCATAAATGTCATAGTTATTGGCTGAAATAAAAAAAAAAAACATTTTGGCCAAACCCTTCGTTCAACGGTAGAAAACGTAGCCATACTATATTGACAATTAATTATGCAACGATCTTCGTGTATACGGCTACGCTGTCGTGAATCATGCGGCCCATATACTGCACACAAAACCTGGAAAATTCAAATAATTCAAATAACTAAAACGGATATAATGGATATAAGGATAACGGACCGTCATATACAAATAATATTTATAAAACTATAAAAATATATTAAGTATATATTATATATATATTAATAAACATATTGTATAATAAATTTGCATAAAATTTTTAAGGTTCACTTATTGCAAAAGCAACATAAACAAAAGCAACTGAAATAAATTACTTTTGTATTGCCTTGTTCCAAGTACGCTGAACCATCAGCTTGTGAATAAACGCCTAATTTACAATTTATATTACGAATTTGATTCGGCCTTCGTCCATCTTGACGAAATCCATGTTCAGATAAAATATTCATAGCGAAATAAACTGAAAATATCTTAAGGATTCGGTTAAACTATAATTATAACGTTGATATTATAAAGGTTTTGTAAAAAATTATTGTAAAGATGAAATTTCGTAAGATTTTTTAATCTTAACTTTTAAAACTTTTTAAGCTTATCAAAACCTTTTATCTATATTTTTTGCAAGTTTTTTATAATTATATACTGTGATTTTCTATTTTTAAGTTATTTTGAATAAATTATAATTTTTTACAAATTTTTTCTGATTTTTCACTAATAATTCAATGAAACCTCTAATTCTGCTGAGGTGTACTTTGAAGCCTTTCCAAATAAAGTTTACTGAACGCTGAACTTGAACGGATATTAAATTTCAACAGTTTATCAAGACCTATTAAAATTATTTTCAATTAATAAAACATTTTAAAACTTTTTTAATCCAAGAATTTAATCCAATAAAACTTCCCTCTGATAGAAAAACTTAAAAACTAGAAAAAAACTTAGAAAATGATATTTAATTTTAAATCTGATGCTTTTATTTTATACCGCCGATATTGAAATTCTACTCTGAAAAGGAGAAAATCTGTTTTTGAAAAATCTTAGTGACTCATCTCTACTTCACTAACATTTCCCTGATAAAATTCGTATTCCGATGAGCAAGTGGAGAAAGCTAACCGGAGATAATGAATGGTTTTTGTTTTTTCCGAAAACTTCTAAAAAAAGAAATAGAACAGAGACAAGAAAACTAACAGGTCAAACCACAGTCCTTTTCTTGTTCACTAACTTGATAATCGTTAAAATCACGAATACACGCGTCAAAACAGCGCTGACTTATTATATTGAAATTTAGAGCAAAATCTTTGTACTGAAAACAATGAAAAAAATTAAGCCTTGAAAATCTGCGAATAAATATTTCATCTGAGACTAGTATTTAAAAATGAATTTATCTAAAATAAATATTATTAATAATTTTACTAAGCTAAATTAAACTAGACTAGACTTGATGACTGTGTGCTTTATGAGCGGTAGTGCCGAAAAGGAGCTCTGCTTATTAATCAATAAAATTAACACATGCTGTTTTAACACTTGACTATATTACTATATTGTATATTATTGCATTATTGTCTTATAATTTATTACTTATTATTTGTTATCTACGATTCGGTAAATTTTTTCTTTCTTTTTTAATTTTTTTTAAAATTGTCTTTAAATATCCTTTTTTAAAATTTAATTTAATTATCTATATTCTCTATCTTTGGCAGAAGCAAACATGTCATGTTGTCAAAAATCAAAAATCCAGGTGGCTGCTGGGCAGCCATCTGTATCTCTATCTCCAAGTGATTCTATGGTGAAATGCTCAAATCTCTGACGCGACGTCCGCATCTTCCGGCGCGCATGCTGCTTCTGACCCGGTGGTGATAAATATATGGACACGAGTAGTAATATTTTAAATATAATAATAATAACAAAATTCCAAAGCACAAGCTTGCGAACCGAGATAAGTAACCCGTCAAGGCAGGCGAGAACTTATTTGCTGACACTTTGCAGGCGTGGTGAGGTGCTGGGTGGAGCTGCTTAGAACATCAGAATACTAATAGAAAATCAGAATACTAATGGATGTCGCAAGCGATCATTATCCACATCTTCTCTAAACACTGCTTGGATGTGACCTGATTATCCGTGTTCCTTATGTTGGTTTTCGAGCAATCACCTGGTTCCGAATAAAGATATTATTTAAATTATTGTGGTGTCCCGGGTAATTCGGGAAAAATGGCGCAGCCATTGTTCTGAAAAGGCTTGATCCGCTCTGATTGAATGGAAGCCAGTAAATGACCGTATGGCCTACTCGCTTTTCAAAGGAAAATTCTGCAATATTTCTGCCATCAGTATATATGCTCCAACTTTATGCGCAGATTACCGCGACAAGGGTAAGTTCTAAGCGGAAGTTCTACTGTTAACAATATTCCTACCGGGAGGTGACATAATCGGGGAAGACTGGAATGCACGCATAAGTCATGATGCCGTTACGATGAACTGGCAATTGGTAAATATGGCATCGGAGTCCAGTGCGCCAATGGAGAACGTTTTTGCTTTGCCGAACGTTTTATTACCAATATATGCTTTTGGCATTGGAGAAAGGAAAGTGGAACCCTCCGGCCAACCAATATTTCAATCAGATTGACTATATAGGTCAGTCAGCGTTGGATGATTTATGCACTCGATAGTAATTCTTATCGAGATGCTGAAAGTGGTAACTGCCATGGATCAAATCATGTTATGGTTCCAGCCAAGATTCATAATAAGTATAAAACTGACAAGTCGTAAGAAACAACCACAAGATTCTTAAACTACATCAAATTAAAGGATCCGGGAACAATAAGCTTTTCAAACCATATTGAAACATCTTAATGAAATGAACATCAATGACTCTGGAAAAGCGAATGAACACCGGTCCCAAATAAAGACATGCCTACTTTCACACTAGGTTATTCTAGTAAGAAGTGGAAAACTAGCTGCGTGTCGGAAGCAACTATCCAACTGTCTAAAAAAATTGCCAACGCCCGAATGTCAGAATATCCTAATTATCGGGGCTTCGAAGAACAAGTAGCACGGCGGACCAGAAATCACTATTGGAACAATATGGCCAATATGAGAAGGGAGACGGCGGCTCAGATAGATGATAATAGGAAAGTGTTTCGCCTTCTTCACAAAGCAACTATAATTTGAGAAGGGATGAGTGAAATGATACGGGATATTAATGGATATCCCGTATTATTAATGAGGCGTCTATTAAAGTTATTAAGGATCATCTCAGAAGATGGAAAGAATTTTTTGAGGCCAAACTTAACTACTATGCGCCATCTGTTGTCCCAAATATAACTGATTCGAGCCTTACGTGAATCACCAACAGAAGAGGATATAATCCCTCTAATCCATAAGCTTAAAGCTTAAATAAAATTTTCTGAAAAGATGGGGCCGAACTCTTCAAATATTGCCCATAACCGTTCATAACTCACCTTCAGCAAATGTATTTTCTGGTATGGCAAAAAGAAATAATATCAGAAAACTGCAGCAAAGCAATTCTGCTTACAATTCCTAAGAAAGGTGACAAGACGTAGTGCGACAATACTGCGATAATTACCGAGGAACCTACTAGACATCATAGGAAAAATTTTCGCTTCCCTTCTGCTAAATAGACTCATGGCAATTCGAGACATTAGAATCATAACGTCTTAACCAAGCTAGATTCAGACGGGACGCAGTTTTGCTGACCAGATATTTATTTATCGATTTTGCAACTGCCTTCGGTTCGCTTGATAGAGCAGCGCTCTGGAAAGTGATAGAATGTGATGGTGTCCCAAAGAAGATCATTCTGCTCATAAAGGTATTTATCAGCATATTCTAGCATAGGTCTATGTACATGGAGAACTGCAGACTCCTTCAAAATAAAAACTGGTGCCCATTTGCGTTCTTTTTCTTACAATATTCAATTATGCGATAGACTAGATGATGGACACGCTTGTCAGCATTTAAAAGATATCCATATCACTCCAGAGAATCGTATCATAGACCTCAAATACGCTGATGTAGTCCTTTTTTGCTAACAGTTATAAAGAAAGGCAAATTATTTTAAAAAATGTGCCAACAATGCAGCGAGAATTCGATTCAAAATTAATGTAAATAAAACGAAAATGTTTTCCTGTTACATACAAAATGCTGGTAAATTACCTATTTTTATCAATTCATAGCCGGTTGTGGGAATGCCAGATTTTAAATACCTTGGGTCCACTCTAATACCAAATGGCCAGGCAAAAGACGATATTATAATCCGGATCACAGTATCTAGAAATGCTTCTTCCGGTTGACTTTATGCAGCCGTCGTGAAATTACCATTAAGACAAAAGTCCACATCTATATAGCCGTGATTTGTTCGATCTTGTTATATGGTTCTGACACATGGCCAGTGAGAGTGGAGGGTATTAAGAAGCTATCTACCTCTGACCACTCTTGTCTAAGGTATATTTTACGGATCGTCCGTCGAGCGGATAAAATATCACATTATCGCACCCACCTTCGTTACACCTGTATTAATAATGAAAGCGTTGCCTTCGCTGGTTAGGAACGTTGTCTGTCGTCCACCAAAGAATTTGATGCGTATGTCGTTACTTGCTAAAGCATGTGATGGCTAGCGTCAAAAGCGAGGAGGGCCAGTCAAGACCTGGATTTAGACAATGGAAAAAAGAATGGCCTCTATTACTATTAGCAACTGCGTCGGACAGAACAGCTCGGAAAACGTCTTGCCTTATAGCCAGCGCAGTCGGCCTAACCAGTAATAATGAGAACTGTTAGAAGAAGAAGAAGCTAAATCTATTCCAACTTTCCAATAAACTATGAGTTGTTTAATGCTTCAGATTTCGGACGGAGAGATTTAGAAAAACTCCAATTAGTTGGAGGGATCGCGCAAACAGTAATGAACAGTAATGGGTAAGGAAAGAGTGTTAATATTAGCGAAAATAAAAAATGCTTACTTGCGAGGCTGACGGCGAAAATGCACCGTTAGTTGTTGCCATTCGATAAACCAGTAAACATTCCAATTTTTCGAACTTCCGCTAAAATCACGTAAATAAATGAATAAAATAAACAAAACATAAAAAAATATATTTTAAGAAAATCGTTTCTAATAAAATGAAATTAGCGCCCAAATCCTATTTATTATAAGCTCACCACTTCAAATAGTGAGAATTGCTTTTAATGCGATAAGAAATTTTTGCTCGAAATCAAGGAAGGGCTGCGAATGGTGATATCAGATGGACTGACTAATGGTACCTAATTGATATTTAATTCACAACGAAACAAAAAACAATCCACATCATCCACTAAACTTCTCGTCCACATCTGCTTTTGGACAATAATCTGCGGTCTCGGTAATACTTAATTATCGGCTGCTGCTTGAGGAATATGTTGGATTGTCACATAACAGAAAGTTAGAACAGAAAGATAGCCGATTTGACAATTAGTACTGATGATACGTATTTCACATTTAAGAGCGTATCGATTAATGAAACGGAGGGGTTATTGGTTCTTTTGGTTTTTTTCGGGAAGGGGAAAGGTGGAGGTCATAGGTCCAGCCTACTGCTTACCAGGTTTTGGGCAGATTAATATATTTAGGACAGTGTTCAGTCATATTTTCAGTGCTTCTAATACTTTTGAATTATTCGAAAGCTGCAGTTGAAAGCCCTCTCCTTTTCTTTTGAGTTGTATGGTTGAATTGGACGAAAGTACCATATTTTCACTTTTCGATTTCATATTTTTTTACCTTTATAATTTTCCTATTTTTCTCTTCGCTTATTTCTATTCACAAAATTAAAGTTTTTCAAATATATTTCTTATAATCGAAAATAAAGTTGAATGAGTAAAATAAAGGACATTAGTTACATCCCTTTTATTCCCTTTGGACGATAATATTTTTCATTTCTAATTTTATAAATTTTGTTAATATTTTGGCTTAATTTTATTTTTAGATATTTACTAATGTCTGAAGAGCAAACAAAGCCACGTCAACATCGACGAAAACCAGTGGGGAGGTTTCTTTTTTTTTTCCGATTCACACCTTAAAGAGAGTGGTTGCAAAATTTTTCAGTTCCTTTTTTTGAATTTCTCGCACTATATTGTGATTTTTTAATTTTTTAAAACTTGCTTCATTTAATTTTAAAACAATATTTTTTACTTATTTTTTTGTATTTTTATATTTTTGTATTTTTTGTATTTTTTAAAATATCTTTATTTCTATATTTTTATGTTTCATTTGAAAAAATTTTGATGCCCAAAATTTTTCTCTTGTTTTATGTAGAATTTTTTATCCCGCATTTTATAGAATATTTTTCAGGTTGTATGTAAAGGCTGTTTTCACGGGATATAAACGTTCGCAAAGGAATCAGAGAGAACATACAGCTTTGCTTAAATTAGATGGAGTTTTTAATAAAAAAGATGCTCAGTGGTTAGTAAAAATTCATGAAATTATTTGAATTAAATTTTTAAAGAAAAAATAAAATAAAAAATATGTTTATGATTATATGATTATAAAAAAATTTCCTCCCATGATATAAGTAATGACTCTTTTAATTGTATGTATGTTATCTTTTTGATTCTATTGGTTTCTGTTGGTTTCTAAACCATTTTCTTTATCTGATTTTTATTTTTGCATTGTTAATTTTAGGTATGTTGGCAAGCGAGCTCTATATGTTTATAAAGCACATAATAAAAAGAAAGTCCCAGGGAGAACTCCAACCAGAGTTAGAGGTATCTGGGGAAAAATTATAAGAGTCCATGGAAATGGAGGAGCTGTCCGTGCAAAATTCCGTCATAATTTACCTCCTAAAGCAATGGGCAATCGTGTCAGAGTGGTAAGGTTTTGTCTCTATTTTATTTATTCATTTCGTATTGGTATCCGTACTTAGTTTTGCATCCATCTTTCTTATTGCTGAGTTTTTTACTTTTTAATTTAATATTGTTTGTGAAATACTTATGAAATTTTTTGGGTGTTACAAATTTTTAATTTGAGGATTTTCAGATGTTGTATCCCTCAAATATTTGAAGCATCAGTTCAGCTATTTAATTGAAAAATTTTTGTTATTTTTGAATAATTAAGGTTTTCTTTTTTGCTTTTAATGTTTCCCATTATGCTTCTTTCATTTGTTAAATAAATTTTCTTCGTTCGAAAATTTTATTCATAAGTTGAATGGAATGTTCTTCACCAATTTTATTTTCATTTATGGTACCATATGTTTTTGAAAATGCTCATCATTTCTAGTCATTATTTAGACTCTTTATCGGACCAAACAATTTTTCAGGGAATCACTTGGCGATAGAAATACAGGTAGGGTCGTTAGCACCACCTTTGTTTTAAAAGACAAATTTATTTCTGTGTGGAGTAGGCCTTGGGATTCGCGTTCTGATATGACAATAGCCCACATAATTATATTACGCTATACTGATAGCAGTTAACTTATACAATACTATGTATTACTAGATTTTGCTTCAGAATATCGTTAAAATGGTTCTTTAAAATTTTCATAATGTGCCTAATGAATATTTCAGATATAAGTTAAAATAGGTCAAATTTTAGTATTTTATGAAACTTATTTCACTTAGCATTGCAGTTTTTTAAAAAATAGGGATATAAGAGCGTGGTAAAAATTTCCTGTTTACAGTTAGAAATGCGTTTTTCTGGTTCACTTTTATGGAGCTGTTTACAGTAAAATGATTATATTCTCAGTAATTAAGCACATCGTCATATGTTTTATCAACTTTCCATTTGATTCAATTGATAGAAAGGCACTTTGGAGGATAATGGAATGCGATGGTGTTCCAGAGAAGATAATTCGACTCATAAAGGTATTTTATGAGTCTACGTCGGTCTGTATATATGGAGTAATTACGAGCCTCCAATAGAAAAAAGAATAATCTCCTTTATTCATAAGCTTAAGGCCAATAAGGCTTCTGGAGAAGATGGTCTTCAGACTGAACTCTTCAAATGTTGTCCACTGTCATTCACAACGCACAAATATATTCTCTAGTATGGAAAAAAGAAATATTACCAAATGATTAGAGCAAAGCAATTCTCAAGAAAGGTAATAGTATATACTGCAACAATTATCAAGAAATCAACGCACTGGACATCTCAGCAAAAATTTTTGCTTCTCTTGGTTCTTAAACTTATGAAAGTGTAAGACAGCAGGATGCGCCCTAATCAAACTGAATTGAGATCGAGGTGCGGTTGTCTGACTTGATATTCACGTTAAGAAGGGTGTTGAAACCAGCTATGTTCGACTTTGCAGATGTCTTTGATTCAATTGATAGAGCGGAAGGTGATGGAACGCGAAGATGTTCCAGAGAAGGTCATTCGACTCACAGAGGCGTTTTTTCAGCGCACATTACAGTTTGTGCATATGGGAAACTGGCAGATTCCTCGAAGATAAGAACTGGTGTTCTTTAAAGGTACCTATAATATTCAACTAGCTATAGATAATGGATTAGATAATGGATTACTTGTAGGCAGTCAAGAGGTATCCGAATCAGTCCAGAACATCATATAACATCTCGAATTCGCTGATGATAGTCCTTTTTGCTGATAATTATGATGAAATGCAAGTAATGTTAAATAATATGTGGCAAGAGTAGGACTAAGGGTCAATGTAAATAAAACGAAAGTCCTTTCGTCTTGTGTGCAAAAAACTGATAAAATGCCTCTTTTTGTAAATTCTTTTTATAAATTTTTGTAAATTCATTGCCATTTGGGGAAGTGTCCGATTTTACTTTCGGTTCACTCTAATATTAAATGGGCAGGAAAAAAGTGATGGTGTCTGAGTTTGGGTTACGGCAGTTAGAAATGCGTTTTTCTGGTTCACTTTTATGGAGCTATCATGAAATCACTATAAGAACGAAAAACCACGTCCGTGTAGCCGCAACTTGTTCGATCTTGCTATATGGCTATATGGCCATTGAGGGTGGAGGATATTAAATTGTTTGCTTTTGATCACTCATATCAAGATACATTTTACAAGTTCATCGATTGGATAAAATATCACATGATCGCATCCATCTTCGTTCAAATACTGCTTGTAGAAAAGTATCATCACAGAGCGTCGCCTTCTCCATCGTCCACTACAAGAGTTGACGCATATTTCGTTATCTTTCTAAACCGTATGATGGGTGGCGTCAAAAGCGGGGTGGCCAATCAGGACCTGGACTAACATGGTCAAGAAAGATTTTGAACGTATAGGTGGACCAGCAATACATGGACTTAGATGATGGAAAAATGAATGGCTTTTACTACTGTCGACGATGGCATCAGACGGCGCCGTTTGGAAACGTCTTACCCTTGTAGTCGTTAGAGCAAGCCTAACCAGTAATGGTGAGAGCTATCAGAAGAAGAAAAAGTCAAGTAAATTGGTAAATTCTGTTGTGTTGTATTTCACATTTCGGAGTTAAAGATCTGTTGAATCATTGAGTGCGGTGATTTCATCGTCTTTTCATCAAAAATATCGCATCTGCATTTTTTTCAAATTCAATCAAACAAAGTATCTTTTGATCGGAATGCTTTATTATTTTGAAATAAGTTTTCGACGAAAGAATTCCTCGTTCAAAATTGGTAGTACCAATATAATCTACCGGTTGTGTTGGCTAAACTGAAGTTGACGCTGAACTTACATTGATTGAACTGAGGTTGAGATTAAGGAGAGGAAATCTATTAAATCTATTAATACAATGGTTTTGTAATTCATTTGTGTTTCTTCCTCCAAATGGCGAAAGGTTCTTTAGAATTCCCTTTTTTTTCATTAATGAATTAGAAGTAAAATAATTTTAATTAATTTTTATCAAAAATTCTTTCGCCTAAACGATTAAAAGGAATATTTAATCAAAGATTTTCGAAATTACAAATTCATTACTATTTATCGCTGAAAGTGATAGAAGAAATGATAAAAAGTGCTGAAAGTTTTACAAATAAAATATTGCAATGTTTCAGGCAATTAATAGAATAATTTATCGTAATGAGCGACTGCTCCTTAAAAAATGAAATATTTTAAAATCATAATTGCTTAAAAATAATAGATTTAGGTAGGAAATTGATCAGTGTAGGAAAATACTTGCATTTTGTTCACTACGATACTTCGCAGGATTCAATTATTACCCCACCAATAGACACACAGCCGAACTGAATGGCTGGCAAAAAAAGGGTATGCTACATAAGCAGCAATTATATGGTCCAAGTCGAGAGGGCCACTGGTTGGAGTCTTTTTCCTTCAAACAGCATTCACCTCTTCTGGCTTAATAATGGTTTACTTCTAACAAGCGATATATTTTATTAATTGCTGCATAATTAATTTGATTAATTTCACCGTACTTCATCAACGGCGTCAATTATTTCCATAGAATCGTGCAAATGTTTTTCCTCTAAAAGATTTCGAAAAATAAGATTTGGCAAATATTTTTTTGATTATTTTTCACTTGAAATAGCATCTAATTTAATTATCTAATTTCATTCTCGTTCTTTAAAGAAAGTTGTCAAATTTTCATCAAATTTTTCATTACCAATTTTTCATTACCCATGATTTGCCTTACGAACAGAGAGAGTTCTATCAAGTTTTGCTTATCATCATTATCACCATCGAAACTCACAATATCTTCAGTGTTATATAATATTTAGATTACAATTAGAGTTTAATTATTACGCGAAAACTTTATTGTTTTCATCATCGTCCATCATCTTCATGTTGGATTTCTAATATCTATTTCTAATATCAATAGTCTAATTATTATTGGCCTTTAAGGCGAGGACTTTTATAAAAGAGGAAATAAAATAGAAAATTTCGTTGCGTTTTAGTGGTCAAACTCGCTCCGCTAACTTATCGCGAAAATATCCCTCGGCGATGGGTGAGTCGACAGTATCACCTGGAAACTTGTGGTTTATGTTCGTAAATAAATCGCTATGTCATTCAGTGTTCCCGCTTTTTTAAAATCACCTTTTCAAAAATATTTTCCAAAACAAATTACAAATTACTTTGAAGGATTAAAAATTGATTTACTTTGCTCATTTAGGTGATATAAAATTTTCCAAAAAATTATTTTATCTAATAAATAAATAAATATTTGAAAGTTTAAAATGAAATTAAATTAATTTTTGCTTTTTTTTCTCTTTATAATTAATAAGGCAAAATAGTTAAAAATATTATATAATTTCGTTTCTCGCAATTATTTCTTCGACTTCATGCATTTTTCTCCTTTTTCTTCTTTCTTTTTTGCTTCTATGTGTCGAATTTTTTAAATGAAAGTAAAATCTTAAAAAGAGTTTAATCGATAATTGAATTAATTCAACTGGTATAAATGTAAATTATGCAGTAAACTGCAATAAATTCACTACGTCCACTTCATTTATTGCTAATTTCCCAAATTTTTATAATTCGTTTATTAAATTTGCAAAAAATTTAGATTCTAAAATAATAAGAAAACGAAATATAATTAAAATTGAATGGTAAAGGAAATATTAAATACTAAAATTAATAATCTAAATAATTTATTAATTAGTAATTTATAATTTATATTAATAATAAAAATGATAAAATTTGGCAAAAGTAAATTTAGCAAAGTGATTTTAAACTTGATTTACCCTTAAATTTTCTTTTTCTCTGCCTGAGGGAATCACTTGGGAACAGCTGATATAAATTTGTAATGCAGTTGGTATTGGTGAATGCTAAATCGTTTTCAGCTGATTCGACTTATATTTAGTTTTCAAAAAAATTATTATTCAATTCATTTTTAAAAAATAAAATCTAAAATTTCGAAAAATCGTTTCGGAAAAAACTAATTCATTGAATTTGTTGATTAGAAAACAAAAACTTCGAGATTAATGAAGGATATTCCGCTCAGTTTATTTTATTTTCCCGTTGCGCTGTTCTCATTGCTCCAACACTATTGCTTATTCGCGAGTCTGCTGGCGCACTTCTCCTTCGACTTACGAGTGATTTCGCTTTTGTCACAGATCGCAGTTCGGATGAGCAATAATCTGAGGGGAATTCCTTCGCGAATACCCGTCAAATCTTTGGAAATCTTTTGGACAAATGAAACGTGAAAACGATAAAGTCACCGTTTTCATTTTTATTTAACGGAAATTGGCGGAAACTTATTAAAATAAATTAAAGTTAAAATTTTCCGCTGAATCCTGAAAATTGAATTGCCATTTTATAGCCAATTCTTTCGAGAGAAATTCTGAGAAAAATATTGAAGAAATATGCGAAATAAAATTTTTTCTTAATTTTTGTTTTGTTTTTCGATAATTTTCGTAATTTTTAACGATATTTTCGTGCAAACTCGATTCGTACTGATTTTTGCCCTTTTTTCTTAACTTTTAAATATTTTGTTTTTTAATTTTAGAAACGATTTAAAAGTTTTTTAAAATTTTTGTTCTATTACATAAGCGCTTTTAGTACAATTACACTAAACTATAATTATACTAATAATAGGCATCACAGCACCTCGCATGAGTATCTGCTTGAGGCATTCGTTTTTAGTGTAAGTCTACTGGCAGCTGGCAACTCGACGCGATCGAGTGGTTTATTTCTTTAACTCAGTTTAGGCATTCGGTCTCTTCGGCACTTAAGTCTCACCAGACGCAGTGTAAATAGCCGTGCTAGGAATCCACCTCTGCTTTTATGCTGAAGTGAATCTCTGAATAAGTCATCTTAGCCAACAGTCAGCAATCAGCACAGCCAGCTTAAGTTAAAACTGAGCAGAAATAAATTATTTCGAAAAAATTATCAAAATCCTCAAATGAATTTTACAGTGAACTCTAATAACGAATTTTACTCAAAGTGAAAAATATTTTTTCCGCAAATTAATAAAAAAAATAAATAGATAAATAATATAAAATATAAATAATATAACAATAAATAAATAATATTATAAATATAAATAATTGAAATATTAAAAATTAATATAAATAATATGAATATTATATGAATAAATATTAATATAAATAATTATTAATATAAATAAATAAATATAAATAAATATTAATCTAAATAATTTTAGTTTTATTTTGTTTTAAAAAGATGCTTTAAATTTATAAAATTGGGAGTGCGCCCAGCCGAGTGGCTACTCCTTAGACTATCGTCTCGAAGCATCAAAGTTATTTCTGACGGAGCAAAACTGCTCATTAAAAATTCTCCGTTTACGCTACTCATCAGAGTAAATCTGCCTCCAAGTGATTCTCTCGCGAAAATTTTCACTCTGTTAACTGCCACTGAAGTTCCTAAACACTGACTTTACAAAGTGTAATAATGAATATTTGAAGCAAATTTCGTTCAATAAGTAAAATATCATTTATTCAACCTTATTTAACAACCTGTTTTACAAGTTCCAACTTAGCTGCATTTCTTTTTCTGTTCTTCCTCACTTTGGATGGGAAACGAGAGTGGGCAATGAGGAGAAAGACTCTCGAGAGCAGTGAATGATTCGTCCCAGTCAAAACAATCTGCTCGCGGCCCCCTTGTGTTCTTATCGCCAAATCCGAAGCAGCTAGCAGAGCGAGTGTAGCCGGAAAGAAACCGCTTGGAACTAACCGCTTAACTATTTATTCAGATAGCATTTACTATATTAATTTTAGTGCATGTGCAAGTGAATCCATCGAGGAATCCATCGACTGGGAAATATGAAATTGCGGAGTTTCTTGCTTATCGATTTATGAGGAAAATGCAGTTGTTGAATTGATATTTTAATTGCTAGCCAATTTCTCAAAGAATTTTCCATAAAAACAGCCAAAGTTGGCCGAAAATTTTGGCTTTTTTGCTCGAATTAAATTGCCGAAAACTTTAAAAGTTCGCTCGAGTTTCCTCCTTTTTCGTTGCGCTTTCTCAGAATTGCTTTCATAACAACGGCTGTTCATGAAACGAGATTTCTAATCTTCGCATTCCGCCCTCCATTATTTTTATTTTTATGTGCCATTATTTTTTCCAAAGATCGCCCTCCCTTCCCTTCGGCATTAACTTTTCGTTTGTCACGCTTGCGCGGTCCATCTATCTGACTCAATTTCAGGTCAAATCAGGCGTATTTCACTTTCTCTTTTGTATTCCAAAATCCGTTCGACATTCTTCTTCGTTTTAAGTTTTCTCACACTAATCGCTATTCAATGAGATCAATTTAAATTAAATTTATTCCATTCTAATGTACATAAACTTTATTCATTTATTTTTGCGCTTAAATTTTTCCAATTTCTTTAAAATAATTATTTAAATTTTTTCTAAATTTCCAAAATTGCGCACCCATCGAATATCATTTTGATAAAACGCGTTGATATCACTCAATAAATGCTTCAAATTACGCGATTTTTGTGCTTTGAAAAACATTCATTAGGAAAATCCGTTCCCCTTATTTTCTTTCGAATCTATTTTTTGCTTTTGCAAATAATTGAGCAAAATTTAGAGAAATCTGCAACTATTGAGCTGTAGAAAGTAAAATTTCAAAAAACTGATCTCGCAACAATTGTTTGTGATTATTCTTTTATAAAATTTTTTCGCATATTCAGTCGAGAAATGAGCCTCGTTGATGGGTTTTGTTGGCGGTTGCTTGCTTTTCGTAGTTATTTTGATTCGTTTTTGAAAATTAAAATTATTTATTTTTTGGAATTTCGTAGAATTTATTGCCTTTCATCGCGTCTTTTATTGATTAATTTTGATTGAAAAATTAACGAAAATATTATTTTATTAGAAATTGACGATTTTTCTCTTAAAACTTAAATTTAAAATTAATTAGGCATAAAATTAATTTCATACTTTTTTACTGAAATTCAATTTGGGAATCGATATTATTTGCAGTTGGCCGCACTGATTCTCAGCAGCCTTTTTCTCCTGGCGAGTAATGGCTCGGCATTGCTCGATAGGCTGCCTCCGCTGGCCACAAGCGAAAGTCGTCTCCAGATTCTCAGCAATAATTATCGATAATTAGATCGACGCTGTGGCCCAATTTTCTTCGCATTTCGAGCCAACTCTCCATCTGTGCAATTGAATAATGATATGATATTCCGTTGGTGATATTCCGCTGAGAGACTCATGAGCTTTCCATTACGCTTACTTTCGAGAGAGCGACAAAAATTTTGTTCTGAGAGTCTCGGAGATTCCTTTGCACATTACTTCAACCACTGGAAAAACATGGATTTCTTTTAGAAAATGTCTCAAAAGTTTATTAATAAAGATCCCGTTATTAGTTCGAAATACATATTCGGAGTGAATGCACTAAAATGCCAACAGATTCACACCCATGATTATTTATTTCATGAAATCCATTCATGAATATTGAAAGAATGCATGACCGACTTGATTTGCTGTTTTAAATCGACAACTAATAGGCCATGAATGTCCAAAGTTTAGAATAAAATCGAATATGGCTAATCTTATTCCCATGAATTTCTTCGATTATTTATTTGTATATTTCTTTTTGCTTTATAAAGTATTGTTTTAAATAAATAATGCTCTTTAGTTGGTGCTATGAATAACATAATTCTTATTTGCCAATTATTTTAATTTTTAGTTATTTCTTAAAATATTTTTGTTAAATAATATAATTTATAGTATTTTGCTGGGAAATCGTATGAAATAACTAACAGATTGACTGATTTCCTGTCATTAATTGAATGCTTTACGTGATTTGTTTGATTTTAACATTTACTATAATATTCTTTAATTCAATTTTTTTTCAGGAATTGTGGCGAAATTGGAATTTTTATTGTTTTCTTAAAATTGTATACTGAATAAAATATTGTTGATCAAAAGCGTATCAAAAGCGTAATTCATTATATTGTAATTTTATTTTTATTCATTTTTATTTATATCGACTGTTCGTCTGTTTTTTGTTTTCATAATGGAATTTTCTCACGAATTTTTTTATTCATCTATTCAATAATTCATGGATGTTGTTTCTTCTTTAAAATCAAAGGATTCTTTATTAAATATTAATTTATTATAGCTCACGAAACACTTTAGAGAATTTCTAGAAAAAATGAATTAGGTTATAAGAAAAGAAAACAGTAATTTTTTAAAATCACTTTTTGCTTTTTTGATGTCTTGAATTTTTTAAATTTTTATGCGATCTTATAATCTCTTGTTTTTTAATGGTTTTTTAATACATTTAATACATTTGAACTGATTTATCCTGTATTTCCCAACTTTTGAATTTTTCATGAAAAATTCGTGAAAAAAATCAACTTATTTCATGGAACAATTTTTTCTGCATTATTTTCCTTGGTTCTTCTTTCAGTTTCCTTATTATCTTTTCTTAGTCGAAATAAATTTGAACTTTCCATCTGATTCTTAAATAATTTCATATTTTGTTTTATTTATGTTTAACTGAATTTTTACATCGGTCTTAATCTTGTTTATTTTTTCTCTTGGTATTTTTTTTGCTATATTGCTATTAGTTACTTATATTTCATCTTTTATTTTTTGCGATATTATCTGTTTCAATTTTGTTTATTTTTCGTTTATTAGCAAACAAAATTGTTGTTCATTCAATAATTTTGATAAAAATTCTTTAAAATATAACAATGATTAATATGACAAAATATGACAATGATTAATAATGATAATTTTAAATTTTAAAGAACTATTCGTCTTGCAAAAAATTTTAATATTCGAAATTTATGGAAAATTACAACAATGGTTTTGTGTCGTTAAATTTAAATATTTATTCAGTTTGAATTAAGCGTATAATAAATGAACTTTCCTGGTATTTGAAATGAATATTGGAGCTGAAAATTTGTTATTTGTTTGTACTTGTGGAATTTGCAAAATTACATTACTTGTTTATTTCTTTTATTGACGGCTCTAATTATAAATATTTTTTATTACTGAAAAAATTTGATTTCTTACAGGATTTTCATAGAATCTCAATGGACAGCCAAAGTAGTGGAGATGCTTTTGTTAATGACCCAAGTGAATTTTTAAAGCTCAAACCAAAGAAGTCTATCTTGAAGGTAAACTTTCTTCATGGAATTAGATAATAATGGAATTATATGGATCATACTTTTGGGAAAAGAGTTCAAAAAGTTTATTACTGAAGCGCGTAGAAAAATTAATTTTCTTGATGAATTAAAAAATTAATTTCCAACTGCTGTTTTAATGAAGTGATGTAAAAATTTAGTAAAGTATGTGTTTTAATTGGCTTGAATAAAGCAATCGTAATAATAGTAATAATCAAATTTTTAATGGTATATAGTATATTCTATAATTTTATTACCAAAACTTTTTGGGCTAAACAGCCATCGATGGATGAAAATAAAAGACATATGGAAGATGGACGAGCTCACTTTGACGAGATGAATATATTAGCGACTCATCATCCTGCAGATAAAGATTATGGGTATGCTCTGTATAATATATATTTATAATGTATGTCATTTATAATGTACGGAATGGAACGTATTAGAAATTCTTTGATGTTATTGACTTATTTATTTATTAGACATTTTTTCTTCTAACAGCTCTAACCGGTTAGGCTTACTCTAACGGCTAAGAGTAAGCTTCCAAACAGCGCGCGCGGTCTGATGCCATCGTCGAGAGTAATAGAAGCCATTCCTTTTTCCATCATCTAAGTCCATGTATTGGTGGTCCATCTGTACGTTCAAAATCTTTCCTGACGGTATCAGTCCAGGTATTGATTGGCCCACCTCGCTTTTGACACGGTTTAGTAAATGACAAAATATGCGACAACTCTTGCGGTGGACGACGAAGAATGTGCCCTAACCACCGAAGCCGGCGCTGTATGATAATTAACACAGGTGGTGTTTAAACGAAGGTGGATGTGATCATGTGAAGGTAGATAGCTATTTTATCCGCTCGACGCACCCGTAAAATATATCTTAGACAAAGTGGTCGAAGATAGATAGCTTCTTAATATCCTCCACTGTCATTGGCCAATTTATTAGACATTGAGTTATGTGGAATAATCTTGCGGCATCTAAACAAATCTAATTTGGTTCGGTTTCACTCAATTTTCTTAAAATTTGAAGGCTAATATGTTAATTATTAATAAAATTATGTTATAAAATTATTAAAAATTAGACTTGTGGAAACTGATCTTGCCCAATCTCGACGACAAAAAACTTAATCTTGGATTTTTCTGGATGGAATCCGATTACTTTTCCCTGACTTAACCATTAAATATTTTTTCGAATTTTTTTGTGATTCGGTAGTATTAGATGCTTGTTACTTTAGACATCTGGAAATAACATAGAAACAACTAACATGTTTATTATGATATTAAATATTACGAAATTATTAGATGAATATATGAAATCGTAAGTATTTATGGAAAATATCTGTTTTAAGAACAGAATTTGTAATAATTGGAAAATTTGTAATAAGAATTTGTTAAAAGAACAGATCAACTGGAGTTTGTAATAATTATTTTAAACTAAAAGTTCTATTAATATTCATACAAATTATTTTTGATTTTTTTTTCATTTATTCTACATTCATGAGTTTTATGGGGTGAGAAGATTGATTTAGCATTAGTTTATATGTGACTGGAAAATAGAAAAAAAAGATTTTATATATATATATATTTTAAGATTTTATATATATATATTTATATATGTCGAAAAAAAGAATATTTCGTTTGGAACATTATTCAGTATTATAAGTGGAACATCTATTTGCAATATGGAATATGTGAACTTGTAAGTGATACGGAAGAAAATGATTAAAATACTAGCAAAATTAATTACAGCCACATTATTAAATTTTATCTTGTTTTTCCCACTGTTGATTTTTTGCTGCAGGCATATGAAAATTGATGAACCAAAGACACCATATCATACATATAGTGATAGCGAAGATGATTCGGATGGCAAATCATCAAGGCCACGTCGAGTTTCATTATTGGGGGCAGTTGATCCTATTAAATTAGCAGAAGGCTTAGAAGCAAGTACTTCTCAACCTCCTGTATATGCAGATGATAATTATTCAGATGATGAAGAATTAACTCCCGAGCAGATAGGTCAAATATTATTTGTTTAATTTTTCCCCTCCTAATTTCGCCAAAATTTTATTTTTTGCTTCCTTATTAATTCTTTCTATTGACTGGAAAAGAAATAAATTTAATTTGCATTTTAATTTATAGCAAATTATGAACAATGAGTCGTAAATTTTTAGCTCATAAGCGTGAATTTGAACGAAAGAGAAAATTACATTATAATGAAGGAGCAGCTTTATTACGTGGTAAACAACTGCTTAAAAATGAGGAAGATGGTTCATTTAGTGAAAGTATGGAATAATTGTTTTTTTTATTCATTTTCCTTCTTCATTTTTATTGGAAAAATGAGGAAGTTTTAATTTTTATATTTATTCAAAGTAATTAACAGTATTCTTAAAAACATTGGAATCTCTTTATATGTTAGTGTATGGTTATATTGTGATATAATATTATGCTAGATTTTGTGTGTATGACTTTTTATCATGGATGTTTAAACTATTTAATTTGATTATGAAGCAATTCATATGAAAATTCATGTTAGCAATATTTTCCTATCTTTATATTTTTTTTTTCAGTTAATTCATTCGGACTTTTATTATTCATTTTGTGGAATTCTTTGTCATTTTTCTATATTGTTCATTACCTTAAATGTTTCACCAACTTATCAGTATTCATTTTTGAGTACCAATACCAATTTACATTAAAAAGGAAGCGATGTGAAATTCGCTAATATCATAATATCGCTTATTTTTTTTAATTTTTTAGACATTCATCATTTGCTAAAATTTGTCTATTAATGAAAATTTGGTTATTATTTGAAATACATTGTCTTTCTTACCGAAATTATTTTCTTTTCCATTAGACATTATGATACTGATAAATATTTTGATTCTTTTTGGTCTTAATGTATTCTAAGATTTGAGAAATTGTGATTACGTTTGGTTAAGTACTATTCAAATTTCCGAGAACGAGAAGCTATAATTTAGTCGGCTTTATTCGTTTTATGAAGCAGATCGCTCAGATTTTTCGTTCAAATTTATCTATTTGATTTCTTAATATTTTGCATATCTCCAAAATTAAAATTTAAAATTTCATAAAATTTAGTTTATGAATTCGTTTAAGCGATTGATTTTATTTTTCTAACCTTTTAATTCTCTTCGGTCATTTTTTCTTTAAAGAGAACGTAATTTTTTCATTTTTATGTTTGATATTTTGTATGTTTAATATGATAATTCGATAATTTGATAATATTTCATTTATTAAAGTCACCGTAAAGGTTAAGAAATTTGTGGAGATGAATTGAAATTCGCTGGTCCTCACATTTCATCGTTAGTTCAAAAGCATTTGCTCTTAAAACAGGAATATTGACTGGACTCATTGGAAATATTTTTTAATTTAATAAATTAAATATTAACGGGTATTCTGTTTGAAGAATTGTGTGATTTTATTCAGATTCATTTAAGTAGATGTCCTCAAATATATATATATATATATCTTGGTATTTCCTCAGAATATCCTTTTATATCTTCGAATTATTTTTATAAAAATTTTGGGTTGGGTGACAAGAAAGATTCTTTATAATTTACCGTGAAAAATAATATTTTTATTCTGTTTGGTTCTAAATTTCATTAAGCTTTATAATTAGATGTGGATGGAAATATTCATTCGCTATATTTTTAAGTTTTAATTCTAAATCGACAAATCTGAAAATATTTGACGATTTTTATAGGGCAGATTTAAGCAAGTGCGATAAACCCCTGGATTTTGATTTGACGTGACCGATTTGTACGATTATGGTCGTTTTTTCCTATATTTAACGGATGTGGGCACTGCTGGCCGGAATTAAAATTAATAGTCGGTTTATAATCTGCTGGAATTATTGATAATTGAATACATTTCATTCATTCGTTCCACTTTCCATTATACCGGAAATTAATTGAAGAGTGGTGCCGCAAAGCAGCAGAAACCTCCGTTGACCTTTGTTTTCGAAGTAAGAGGTTAACTTTTTTGTTGTAGATAAATTGCTCAGTGAGTTTGGATGATTTACCTTTGTCGGCAACGTTGATTGCAAAAGTAACCTATAATTAACCAACTAATAGCTATGCGAATTGTTGAGCAGCCTTTTACATATCGAACCACACCATCGTGTTTTGTTGATAAGCACAGGTTTAGTTTTATGATTTCAGTTTCTCTTGAATGCTTATAGTTATCCAATTTATTTTTTACTCACAATTATTTAAAATAAAAATATTTGAAAAGAGCCAATAATCATGCAAAAGCATATGGGAAGGGATTGACGAAGTTGAAGTGCCGCTTATCGGCTGTGTATAAATGAAATATTTTTGAAAGAAAAAGCAGTAGGTAAAAAAAGAAAAAAAGATGAGAGAAGCGCTGTGGGGATGGTTTCTAAGCTGTGCCACAAATAATTCCACCTAATTCTTTCTTAAAACGCTGCAGTCTTTACCTAATACCACATTTTATCAGTTTCTTCCAATAATTTATCAAACGCATTATAAGAAATTATTAGCTCAGATTTTGCTATAGTTTTGCAAATAAATTTAGGTAATTTTAATCCATTGCTCGGAGTTAAATTTGAGTTTAATATAAAATCGTAATTGACAATAATCGTAATTTGTGTACCCAAAAGTTGTTTTACATTCGTTTATCAGATATTTTAAAAATTCGTCTATTTAGTTAAGTAAATTCGTAAGTTTTCACAGAATTTATTCCGCTCTCAATGAAACTTCTGTAAAAGTGTGGCCAAATTATTGGTTAACCAGCATATCTAAAATATTTTGTCCTTAGAAAAAAATAACCAAAAAAGCGTCTGAAGGTGGTAACGCTTATTTGTAATCACGCTGCTACTTCATGCTTTCGTTTTCATCGCTTATACTAGTTTTATAAATCACTTATCACAAATGAATTCTCAGTAATAATAAATAAATGGCGCAACCAATTTTAAACATGCAGTCGAACTGCCATGCTATATAATCAGTGTTTATAATCAGTGCATACTTTGTTAACACCCTCTTTTCCATTTTTTTCTCCTTTATTAAATTTTTTCATTTTTTCTTTTTTGCTGGCAAATAATAAAAAATAAGTACATAAATCATTAAAGGAGGAAAATGAATTATAAATATCAAGGGTTAAGGTCATATAAAGAAATAAAGGTCAATCATGTATAACGCTCTCTTCAAATCTTCAGCGTTTCACCTGTTGACCTTTAGCGATAACAGTGAAGGTCTTTAGATAAGAAAATTAGTTTTTAAGAAGATTAAATGGAAAATCTGAGATAACCAAACAAATGAAGGAGATAGATGGAAAATCGCTGGACGCTGCGCATCTTTAGAAATTCTAGGATTCTACTTCAATATAGGGAAATCGAGAACGATATAATCTAGAATATGGACTGGAACGAAACCGCTAATTAATGCTATGCAAATCTTAATCTAACATTCTTTTTTCAAAATCGTGTTCTTTCGTTAGTTTTCAACTATCAATCTCTCAAAAGGTTAAGTTGCCAGCATTATTATTTTGAAGCAGCGATTATGGTGTTAAACGCATTTCCTTTTAACAGCATCCACCATTACTGCTTCGATTAACTTCCTTAGTTATTACAGTGGGACCTTCAGAATCGCTTAGATCTCCAGCCACATCGGGACTTCATTTAGTTATCGGTCTACTTCCATCGGGAGATGCTTGACCTTAGTCGAAGTAAATGCCCTTGCGGTATTACATAACAATATTTTTATTAAGATTCCATCCTTTCTTTCATTTGAGATTAAATTTAATTTCTTCGCCTACCACTAAACTAACATTTTATTTGTTTTCATTATTGTTCTTATCGACAATTTAATTAGAAAAGTGTTTGACAAATTGTTATTATCGGTTTTATTATTGCGCAAATGGCCAAAAGGTCTTTTAGAAATGACTATCTTTACCTTTGCGGTGCATATAATGTGCAATGGCCATCAAGCTTTGATCTATTCGATACAATCATTAACGGAATGTAAATAACGCCAGATGTTACCGTTGTTGAAAGGAAACCTTGCATGCGGCACCTATGATAAATATAATCTAATTGCTTTATAGAGCAAATAAAGTAGAAAAACATACTTAAACTATTGACCTTCAATAACGTAGCGCATATACTAACAGAATCCCGAGAGACAACCTCATTACGCCATTTATTAGATATCTTTATGTGATTGATGACGGACTTCTTAAAAATGCTTTCAAATGACTATTTACTACCGTTATTTTGCACTGCAGTATGTATATTTTTATAACTATACGGTGTCTTTTTTTCTAATATTTTATAATAAATAAATCAGACAAAGTTGAGTTTTTCAGTGATGGCCGTGTTTGACCGTTGTCAGAAACTCGACTTCCATTTCTCTTTCAACCGGAATAAGCTTGTAATTAAAAGTGAATTACGACGGTACATTTGCCAAGTAATTTTCCAAGAGAAAAGCCTCATCTAGAAGATTAATCAGAAGAAAAAGAGCTGCTAAAAGATAATAATGAGAATTTTTATGATTTTGGTCCAATATTGTCAAAAATGAGACGAATATTTGCTTATTGAAAAAAATGAAATTTTTAGCCAATTAATATTTCCACGGAATTATGGTACTAATGTAGTACTATGGTACTAAAAATGAAATTTTTGGTAAGGAATCACGTGGCTACAAGTACCACAAGTACAGATGGGTCGCCAGCACCATCAAATTCTTCGTATTTAATCCTTCTAAGGGGAAAAGCCGAGTCGAGTGTTGAGTACGGTACCTTACTCTTTCAGTACCTTTCAGTACGGTAGTTTAAATCTTTTAACGCCCAGCAAAATTTAAAATAATAAAATTAATAAATCAATCAGAATTTTCAATATTTTAAATAATGTTAACTTATTATGAGTAGCTATGTTATATTTATTTATGTTATTGTATTTATTTTTTTATTTATATTTTTATTTACCGAGTATTTCTTTTTTAAAGAGTTTTCACCATTGCTGGTTAAACTCGCTCCGCTGGCTGGCTTTTCATCAGATAGAAACAATGAAATGAACAGTTTGGAAAAACTGAAAAATATTAAACCACCAATACCGAAAAAACCTACAAATTTAAATAATGTTCCAACCACTCATAGCAAAGTATTTGCAACTCGATTGAGGTAGCTGTTTCTCAATCAAAAAATTGTTAATTTTATGAAATAGAAATTGGTGCAGTAGAAGTCTTCTTCTTCTCTTTCTCCTCTAATATTCACCATCCCTGATTTGATTAGTTGCAGGACTATAAGAATGTGGCG